CTAATGTCATCCTTTGTCGTTCAACATCATGATACTACCAAAACTAACGTTTGCCAACTCTGGACAGAATCTAGTTTGCTGCCTCTAATATGAAGAGCTGTTTTCACTTGTTTCTTTCTACACTAATTATTTGCTCGCTAAAACGCAACATAATACTAAATAATAATAAAAAGTGTACATTTAAAAAAAAAAAAAAATAACCAAAACTGTATGGATATCACATACATTGGTTGCCTCTGTAAATGGTTTATGCCTTCATAACAACTCTATGAAGAGTCTGTTTTGTTTTTTCATCACATCCATTTGGAATTTGTTGATGTTTAAAGCTTTAGGCCACTTTGATTGACAGGTATTTTGTTAATCAAGTTAGCTCCCACCTTTTCACCTGGAGTCACTGAACTTGACCTCTTTATTGTGTTTGTGGTGTTGGAACTTCTGGAGTTACATGAGGTGGGTGTAGCTCAAGTGGTAGAACTACTAGTCAGAAGGTTGGTGGCTCGATCCTCGTCTGCTCCAGGCTGCATGCCAGATGTCCTTGGGCAAGATGCTAACCCAAAGATTAGCTTGTAGCTTATTATACAGACGAGATGAGGTACTTTACATTGATTGCAAGTTTACATAGCCCGGGACTGCTTGATTTGTGGTTGCTAAAGATGGTTGTACCCCCCCAAGCCTCATCCCTTTACACCAAAACAACACCAACAACCACCACCATCATGTCTCAGTTTCTCTAGCACATATGCAACAGGATAGGTCTCAGGATGAGATGATCCAACTTATTGAGTCATGATACTAATATCATGATACAGATTTGTCCCTTTTGAGGAAGAGGAATCATTCTTTCGAGGCAACATCAAGCGTGACGTCATCTCACTTGACCACAGTTTGCTCAAAGCTGCTGCAAGCAAACAGCACTTGCTGGTGTAGCATGCCTTGAATGCCTCCCTAAGTCTCCCAACCGCTTTGCTCCCCCCATGCCTGACAAAGCAAAGGATTGGTGCATTTCTCTTTGTGCGAGACATCAAATTTTCAGGTGCTTCTAGTTAGAGCTTTGAAGCAGAAAATGTTGCATCCCCTCTGGTCAGTTTTCATCTTAAAAACAAAATAGTTAAGAATTTCCAACCCTCTTCTCTCTTTGCCAGCTGCGTGCACTTCAGACTCACTAATCTCTTAGCCTATCAGTGTAAAAGTCAGCAGGGTGTGTTTATCAGATATGGATGTGAACACCTGCCAATTACTGTTGAACTCTGGCTGTTTAAGTCTGTGAAGGTTCTCAGTTATCCAGGTCATCGTAGTCAAAGGAGCTTGCAAAGAAAAGCGTCTGGACTTCTTTAAGTTACTTGAAGACGTAGGTTTATATCTGGGACTCTCCACCATTTGACCTTAGAACTGAAGAAGCTTCTTGGATGAGAGGTGAAACGTCTTCAAGTAACTTAAAGAAGTCCAGACTCTTTTCTTTGCAAGCTCCTCTGGCTGTTTAACTTCATAACTTTTGTTTTTATTTCTGCTCCACAGAACTCAAGGACAGAGCCAAACCACTGGAACACGTATCACTGTCCACTTTGTGCTTCTCTTTATGAGACTCTGTCATACACTTGTACAGTCCCTGGATCATTTAAGTCCAAAAAAACTCTTGTCAACAGGACAATTTTAATCGCAGAGAAAATTGAACTTTACACTGAGCCGACTGTCAGGAGAGTGCCAGAAAAACAGACTTATGCTTGATGATAAAGGCATGCCTGGGGTTTGGTTTCTCTTGTCATAACTTCCTTCCTCAGAGCAATCAAATGGGTGTAGATCTCCTGTCCCAGTTTCTCTGCAACTGAGCTATGTAAATTAGTCTCTGGAGTGAAACAAGCCCACTGATGTAAATGTGACACCACGGGGTCATGTGCTGGCTGGCTGGCAACTCACTGTGTTTGATGCAGGGTGGGATCAGGTCATTTGGGAGTAAGGAAACAAAAGCTGAGCAGAGATATCAGAGATAAATAAGGCCTCATGAGGCTGCTACTTTTTAAAAAAAAGCACATTTGACCATTTGAACCTGACATGAGCTTCCAGCGAGTGAACAGGAGGTCAGTTTGTCAGTATTGGTATCTTTCCTTTCTGAGAACATCACTCTGTTTTTTTAAGGTCTCGTTCAACGTCAGTGTGGAGGCGAGGAGCTGTCCTCCCCGTGGGACTGACCGCAGATTCACAATCAAGCCGGTGGGCTTTAAAGACCGCCTGGAAGTGGCCGTGGATTACGAGTGTGACTGCGGCTGCAGCCGGAATGCACAAAACAATAGCGTCATCTGCAGCTCCATAGGTATAACTTTAACAATTCATATTTATTTACTACTTTTAAATCTTCATTTATAATCTTCATTTATGATCATGTAAGAGTTTTCATGTTTTTTTTTTTTTGTTTTTTTTCCCGAACTTCCAAGAAGAATAACTGCTCATCTTTTCTTCCCCTTACTCCACTTGGAAATTTGACTGATAGTGTTGTTTACTGTAAACTAAAGTGTACAGGCCAACATATTCGTGCTGCAGGAAACTAAAGCTTGAAGGAACATGTGGGAATCAGTCCAAAATGACATGACCCCTTTTTACATTCAGTCCTGCCTTTTCTTTAGTTAGATTAAAAAACACGAAATGCAGAGAAACCACTGCTGCGCTGCTTTCTGAAACACTGTTAGGAGGTTAAAGCCATTCATCCAAATGGCTCTCAAACTTAATCTGGCATACATCTTACAGAACTGCCTGCTCCAACCCGTATAATCTGCAGAACAACACAAAAAATAGGTGAGAAGGTGAGAAATGTTCAACATTTCAATCACAAGCATGAGGCAAATAAAGTTTATTTGAATGTGCTAACTTCTGTCATTAGCCAATCAAACTGGGCTATGAAAATCCAGAGAATGAAGCAGTTTTTTGAAAAGCTTGTTATTAATTTTAAAAACAATTATTACGGTCCCCATTAGATGCAGCAATTCTTCCTGAAGTCTCAAATCTTTGCAACTGAAGGTGAGTTGATGATTTTGGAGAACACAGTTACAGTGGCTAGCTTGGCCAAACCAGATTTGGCTAGCCTGGTTTATACACATTGTGAGTTGTCATTAGCATGTTTGGGAGTAACTGGTTATTGTTATGACAGTTACACCAGTAAAGATGGTCCCAGATGTCAGGCATGTCAGGTGTTAAAACACAGGGACCAGTTGGTTGTTTCTGATATATTGTTTGCTTTATGCTAATGCCTGTAAGCTAACAAAGAACATCAATGGAAATCCAAGCGAACATTCAAATGTGACAAAATAATTCCTCAGTATAACTTAAAAGTAGACCCTTTAAGCTCATTTCCAGCTCCATATTTTTAGTAGCTTTGCATTCACTAATATAAGTAATACCTAAGATATCTTGTTCTGTTCATTCTTTTTCTGAAACAAGCTGTTTTAGCTTTTAAACTTTCCTTTAATTTTAACCTTTCTCTGATTAGCAGTAGCTCCTCGCACACAGTGCATTTCAACAGCAGGTCGGTGGCGCTTCTGCTCTCGCAGCCAAAGCCGTGTGCCTGAGATGACCATGGGGTACACCATTAAAAACTTCTGCTCTCACTGACCTTATACAGAGCAAGAGTAGAAAAGAACTCGGAGTCTCAGTGTGTGGAGCCGTCTTAGCTTTTGGTTGTACATATGCTGACCTCATTATTTGAATCTGACAATGTTTAATATGAGCAG